TTTGCCACAGTGAAGGTAATTTTCTCCCATTCGCACTCTTCTTCCGGCCAAATCTCGTGTATGGCCAAACCAGAGAATGGATGGGACAGAGAGGATTTTTAGATTTAATATTGAATATGTATTAATGTTAATTAATACTAATCAATTTTAATTTATTCTTAATTATTTATAATTATGTGTTTAACTGTAGTCAACTTTAATTAAATAATTATAATTGCATGATATAATTATTTAATTAAAGTCAATTAATTATATTTATAAATGAATTGATTATAATTAATTATTATTAATTAATTTAAGTAATAAAGTAATTTAATATTATTAGTTTATGATTAATGAGGATTAATTATAATTATATATTTATAATTATTAATAACTTATAATTTATTATTTTAATTAATTAACTGATTAATTAAATTTAATCTTAATTACTAATTACATTATCATAAAAAAAGAATGCTCCCCTCTACTCTATTTCCTTCGGCACTAGTGTCGCGACCAAAAAATTGCCCCAAGCACGCCCTTAGTGCGCGTAGGTGGGATGGGACCCTGGTGCGACACCTACGACGAGGTAGGGTTTGAGAACATTGAGCTTCTAACAATTTTCTGGATCATCTCTTCCATATTCCCCCAAATCTTCTTCTAGGATGAAAATTTTCCCTCCATCGATGAAGTTTCTCACCACCTTCTTCATTGCCATTTAATAATAGATAGCCCCATTTCTCTCAAAACTCTACTTTTTGACCATGCACTTCTAAGATCAGGCTCGATAACCAAATTGATATACCTTAGGTTAACACAAAGTAGGGTTTGCCCTTATTTTCTTCAACGGAAATGAATTTTCTACCACCAGATAAGTTACCCAAAACAAGCAGAGATGAGGAGAGAACTAGAAAGCTTTGCATTAATTCAGAAACAAAAAGACAAAGCTAAGCCACTTTCGAGAAGAAAAAATTCTCCCAAAAGAAACCTACGAGAAAACAAGTAAGGAAAAGAGAAAGAATTCTTCACATGATGCCCAAAATAAACCTATAGTGGCTGCCTTTCAAATATCTACAACTTCCCTCATCCCTAAAATTGCCCGCCTCATCCACCCACTCCATTTTCCCCCCAATACCTGCCGCCCCCTTGATGGCCCAGGATTCAAGTAAGTGGGCCCTGGGGAGATTGACCAAGGATTTGCGCCCCTTGATGCGGTTATTAAGATTATCTCTTGCTCCCTAGCATTCACCAGGGGTTCGGCCGCCC